ATTTTATTAAAAACATTTAGGATTTTTTACTAAAAAAATTAATGTCCTTGGTGATTTCTTTCAATAATATCTCTGTAGAGGGCAACAAACTAAACCATGTCAGTTTTGTGGGGTATTAAAAATAGGCTAGAATTGTGCCTGCTAGTTCAAAACCTGGCCAAGATTTAGGAGCCTTGGTCAGCAAAACCCCGAGGCGTCTCACGGTTCGAAGTCTTCAGAGAAATCTGCTGTTCTTTGCTGCTCAGTCACAACTGGTTTTGCTCAGAAACATCATCTCCTCTTTCATCCGACAGCTCATACTGTGTCAGGTATGGGACTATAGAATAAACTGCAGTGATGTTTTTGGTAACTAGCTACCCATTTCAATCACAGTATTACAATTCTCTGATACAGATTACTGAAAGTTGGAGGGCTAGCCTAGAATGATTGTGTTTTCATTAAATCTATTTTTCCATTATTTTCTATGGCATAAAAACAAAGTTTGTCTTTGCAATTTTCTCTTTTTCTCCCCTGATCTAAAACCATGATGGTTTTATACCTCCATATTACTAGGGAGCTCACTGTCATTAAACCCGATCTCTGGAACTGTAAAGGGCCCCTGGCAGGGAGCTCAGGCACTGAGTTAGTTCTCCACCAACACAGAGATTTAAGGACTGTGCCGAAGTGGATCTCTCCTGAGTTTGGTGAGGCTGAAAACAGACCCAGAATTAAAAGTGTAAGTACATCTCTCACCACGTAGACAGCATCCAGATTGTTACATGCATGGATTCAGTTATAAATTGAACTCTCAAGATAAATAAAGCTGGAGGGGTTTCCCTCCTTTTCCTATAAATGTAAGGATATCTCTTCACTGCATTAGGAATCTTGAGAGAACTGTGGTAGAATATTTGTAGAGGGGACCCTGTGGACTTCAGTAGAAACATTGGTGTATTTTTAATGCAGTTTATCAACTTAAAGTAACCTTAATATTTCCTCTTCTAAACTGCTTTGTCAGAGCAACTTTATTTCAGCTCTTGACTGTAAGCTGGAGGGAAGCAGGGAGAAATTAAGCCTTCGTAACACCTGACAATTCTTTTTATATTTACAGACATCTATTTAAGTTGCTGGCTTGAGTATTTCTCTGCTTTAGTTAAGAATCAGCAAAAGATCTGTGTTAATGGCATCCTCTTAGCAGCTGCTGGAACTAATTTTATTTTAGACAAGCTGGAATACACACCATGTAGCTGCACTTCTGTGAAGGGTCTGAAATTATAGTGTTATTCGTTTTCTCATCACCCGTTGATGCAGCGGTTCCTGACACCTTCACTCCCCTGCATTTTGTCTCCACTGGTCACCACAGTTCCCTGCTGATCTCTGGAAAAACAGACACGGAAGAGAAGGCAACACGCTTATTGGTGCAGAGGTCTGAAATTTTAGTGCATTATATAGTTTCTAAACACTGGATCCTGCCTGTGGAATACAAGGTGGCTTCCTTGCATCCTAAACACTTCATGCTTCCTCAAGCAGAGCTTTGCATCGTACATGAGCTGCTGGTTCTTTATCACAGTACAGATGGAAGCAGCAGCAGTAGTGGCTGGGGTGCCGGTCCTAGTCTCAGCATGTGCTGCCTCCGTCCCTCATGCCTGCATGCACCTTCTCTCACACAGTTGTAGCTGTTTAAAATATCTTCTACTCAAATCTGAATTTGCATCTCGTAAGGCCAGAGCAGGAAACCCAAGTAATGCTTCGAAATTTGGATGTGCTATCTCCTCCATAGTATTTCTGTTTTCCCTTTTCATTGGACGTTCTGGAGTGTCTACAAAACAGTTATTTTCCTCCTTTACATCGATGAGAAGGTGGGTATATTCCATCTGATCATGAGAGAAGCAAGATTTAGGGATTCAAATTTTTTTTTAAAGGGCCTATAGTGACAGGACAAGGGGTAATGCATGTAACCAACTGCATATATCAGCAGGGAATCACTTCGTTCTCTTGTCCTTGGTTATGTGTCCTTGGAAGATGCTACATCTGTAAGTTTTTTAGGAACAATAAATTTATGCATAAAAGCATTTTTCAAAATTCAACGGTCGCATCGCTTTCAAAACAAAAGAAAAACCCTAACAAATACACCCAACTCTGCATGCATTTCTTCCTCAAGGAGGATCTCAAGAGAATAACCTGACAGAACAGAGAAGTGATGCACTAAAGAGCATTAGAGAGATTCCTACTGACCGCAGCAGGCTTCAGATCAGGCAAACACAATCTGTGTCTTACACGGAGACTTAAAGGCAGTGCTGACAAACACGTAATCTGAATCTGGACATATCCTTATCGTGAAAGTAGAGTGCCTAGGTCAGTATTTTATGAATCTTCCTGTCGATATCTGTACCAAAGATTAAACTTGTATGCCTTTAAAATAGCAACACTATATACATTTATAGTTTCCAATTGCTTGGTTATTTTGAGTACTCTTCTTAAGTAACACATATTTATTACTGGCATATGTCCTCTTTCCACGAGACTATAAAGAAAGAACTGGATTGCAATATAGATTTATACATAATGTTACGAATTTAGAGGATTTACAGAATATAACTTTGAATCTTGACACTCATCTGATTTGTCTTCAAAGCCAAGCCAAGACCAACTATGGCTACAGCATTCCCAACACAAAGCTATTTAACTGTTCTATAAAAAAATGCAATAACGAAGATCTCTAACCCCCTCCAGACAAACTCTTCTGCTCTCTGATTGTCCTTATTGTTCAGCAAGCTGCCTAACCTAAATTTCCTTTGCTGTAATTTAAATCTGTTACTTTATTCATTTCACAGTGGATCTGGAGGAAAGTGTGCTGCCTCCTCCTTTTCCTCACCTTTCTCCATACGAAAGACTGAGAGTATCCCCCTCCACGTTCTCCTCACTGAACAACCCGCTTTCTTCCCTTGTCAGTCACACTTTGCAGATGCCTGATCACACTCTGTTCTGTTGCAGGATCCTCCCCAGGGCTTTTCTTGGTCCATTTTAGAAGGCCTTTGAGCTGGGCCCTTTCTGCAGAGGCCCAGGATGACTTGTGGGTCTATCACCCAGCTTTCTGCAGCACTGGCCACCACCGTGCAGCCACAGAGATGAATGAGCTCATGCATGGCATTGAGTCACGCTCAGTTTATTCACTGTCATACCTGGACTCCTTTCTGAGGAACTGCTACCTGCCCAGTCATTTTGCCGCTTATTCTTCTGCAGTTTGTCACAAATGTGATGCTCTGTGCTTGTTGGTACTGAACTGTGCCCTGTTGTCTGAATTGTTGGCCATAGTTGTCCAAAATATTTTCAGTCTTATCTCCTAAAGTGCTTACAGCTTGGCATTGTTTGCAAGTTAAAGAAAGATACAGGTCACAACTGACTTAAAATACCAAGTCTTTCAAGGATACTAGAAAACTCTCATCAATGTATCTTCCATGCTAGCCGTGAATCCTTGACAGCTCTTCTTTCATTACAACTATCCAGCTGTTCGTGCACTCACCTTCCTGCACTTTCAACCAAACCAGGTTTTCCTAGCTCATTTACAAGAACCTCATAATGTGAAAAGGCTTGCTAAGACACAAAGAGGAGATATCTACTGCTTTTTCCTTGTGCATGATGCATCTTAGCCTGTCAGAGAAGGAAAACAAGATGAATTAATTACGGTTTGTCCTTGACAAGCCCATGGAGATTGTTGGTTATGACCATACAAATTTGAAGTGCTAATGGGGAGAATGCTTGATTATCTGTTCTTAGGTTTGTTTTATTCTTAAATCTCACAATCTAGCTAGAAACTCTTTATATGGCCTTCCTGCATTGTAAAGGAATGAACTGTTCTTCCTCTTTCCAGTGAAGTCAATCTGTTCTCAGCAGTGTTTCAAAGATCATTGCTAACAGATCTGGTATCAGCTAAACTTGATGAAATTTGCCTATCAAAAAGCATTTATCTTACCCAAGAAATTCTTTAGCTTGTTCATGTCTTAGAATAACCTGTGTTCCCACACCTTTCTGTTGCTGTTAGTAACCTCTGATCAGATTAGGATGACTTTGAAGTGAGAAACAAAACAACAAAAATCCATCTTTCCCAATGTGCTCTATTATCAGCTTTCTTTTCTCCATTTTCCCATTCATCAATTATCTTCCTAGTTCTGTAGAATAATCTTTTAGCCAGGCTGCATTATTTCACGCTGAGCAATCTTCTTTTCTGCAATTAACCCTCTTCACTTCAAAGTTATATGAGCATTTTGTTCAGATTTGTTTTAAAATATAGCTCTTGGCTACCCCTGTGTTCCTCTCATAGCTGACACTTGACAATCTGCTTCTACTGCATCACTCAATACTATGTTCTTGTGTTCAATTCACTTACTGCATTCCCTAGCGTATGTGAATGCCTTAGCGTATGTGAATGCCTCTCTGTGCCATATGACACAGGAACATGCACATTAGACACTGGGCTCACATTGCCACCTACTCCCGTCCCCCAAGGTCTCCTGATTTAGCAGCTCATGTGAATCAGCTCGTTGCTCATGGCCTCTTTTAAAATTCAGCCTCTTCCAGCAAATCAGCTCCCATTTGAGCACCTAGCAATTTCACAGGGCCTGTCCCCAATTCCAACTCTGCCGTGCTAATAATCCTTCACTACAGCGCTCCTTAGTAATAATCTCAAAATTATTGTTTTTAATTGATTTTAGTTTTTTGCAACAGAACAAACTGAAATGAATGTGCTCACATGTTTTTGTGTTCTGAAAGAGCAGCAGTAACTTGCCTGATGGTGTGGGAGAGAATGAAAAAAAATCCATGTTTCATTTTGGTGCCACCCCTCAGGGAAGAACTATATCCTGTTTACACACACCCAGAGAACCTAATTGCAGTGTTAGTTGAATACTACGGTTGGAAAACAGCCTCTGCCATAGCTGACATGTCCTGTGGTGGGAATGTCCTTCCAGAGGTTTTTCACGGATTACTTTCACAGTCTGACTCTTTTCTCTTTTTCGCCTCCATAGATTATCAATTCAGTGGTATTGCTGATTCTGCTGAGCGCCCTGACCGATCCTGACCAGTACCACCTAACCAGTGCTGAATTAGGGGGTGAATTTGAATTTATGGATGATGCCAGTAAGTACAAACTGTCTAAATAACAAATACTCATTGCTCCAGTGTTTATGTAACTCTCCTGTCATTTCAGTAATTATTGTCCTTTAATTATTGCTTCACCTTAGTATCTTACAGATGAGATTTCATTGTGAAAGGTGTATTCGTAGCACAGTTCAAACCGGTTACCTGTTAGTAACTTAGATTATCTGTTACCTACCGGTAATCCATCTGTTCTGCTGTGTCCTGGCTTGGCAGGGGCAGTGCCAAGCCTTGACATGGAGATGTTATCCCTGGGCATGATGCTGAAAGCCCCAAGGAGAGTTTGCAAGACACGGGGAGACATGGAGTCTGCACCTCCCAGCACCCTGTCCCATAGTGCCTGCATGTGCATAAGAACCCATGCCGCTATTTATCTAACTGCCTGAATGTGTTCATTCACGTCGTACATATTTACGCACCCCCCGTGTGCACATGGCACGACTTGCACAAACCCACTGCGATAGCTGCAAGTATAAATCATAACTGTATAGTCATAGGCGTATTAGCGATAACACAGCACTGCTTCCTTCTCTCACCAAAGGACATCACAAAAAATCTTCAGTGCCGTTTCAGGGAAGGGTGAGACAGGCTATTTCTGTCTCCTGCAAAAACCTCTCGTCCTTTGCAAATGCTTCTTTCTTCCATGACTGTTTCAAATTATTTGGTGATGTTTGGTTTGTTTATCTGCTTTAACTGTTTAAGTTGTGTCTAGAACACTTTTCCCTCAATGTGGTTTTGATAAAAATGTCTATTTTAATTTCTGCTCACGAGATTGTTACATTCAACATTTCTCACAGTAATCTGAAACAAAGTCTCCTACCAGTTACACTGGTGTCTTGCTCCTCAGAATCCATCCACAGCAAAAGGATCCGAGCCCTTTCCTCATTCCTACTGAAGTCAAGAAAAATATGAGTAGGAAAATGAATAGCTCCACATGTAAGAAAAATAATTGCACCCATGGTGTGTCAGAGCTGTTAGCTGTCAGTTAAGGGATGCTTATTTCCACAAGTTCTTTAGTGCAGGTATGCCTTGAGCGCCTCGGTGTAATTAATAATAAGGGGCAATTGCTACTTTATTGTGTCTCCATTGAAAAAACACCTACAGCTAAACTAAAAATCCTTTTATATAACTGGATTTAAGAAAGTAAGGACCATAGTAGATACAGATGGGCTCCTAGCTGATTCTGACATATTAAAACTGACTGCCTTGTCCTAATTCTCAGAGATTAACCTTGGTAACGACTGTCTGTCAGTGTGGTTTTATATAGCCGACATCAGAGGCCTGCCAGTGCCCAAGGCTTTAAAATAGTAATTCTGTTTTGTAATGCAATAGCTGTGAAATCAAGTACACTGGGGATTTCCATCTACACTTGAAAATTGCATTTTCTATATTTTTTTTATCAAGGCTTCTGAAGTGAACCCTGCAAGACTGTAAAAGGATGGCTTGTGGGCCAAGCAACCTCATTTCTATTTGGTAAAGGGAACATTTCACAGGCAGTTAAATTAAGAATGAACATTTGAATTAATGTCTCCTTCTATTCTTTGACTCCCTCTGGTTTAATGCCTTACTGAGTAAAGGCAGCTGAATCAGGCTACTAGCTTTTATAGTTGCTGGAAATAGCTGGCAGGAGATATTTCTTAAAAAATTTTTCTTTAAGTATGATTACATTTGTTCAAATCTGAGGAAATGCTTTCTTATGAGATAAAACATTAGATAAACATTCACATACTCTTCTCTTGTCGTGCTTTTGTCTTTCTTGAAAAATTGTTTTCCAGGTTAGCTACATGTGCTGAAATTCGTAGACATGAAACCATGTACAAAAGACAGGAAGAAACACCAATCTTTATGCACATGAAGGTCCCAGAGTTGTTATCTATATCTATGTGCACTTATGGTGACAAATAATAATGATGGAAATAGTAGTAGCTGTTATTACTACTTTTGATGCTCCTATCAATTGCAAACAAAAAGAATGCAGACATAGATTTTGCATGTAGAATTGTCACTCCCTTTCCCTCCCTCCTCAAATAGGCTCCTTCATAAAACCTCTGAAAATATCAGCTGGAAATAAACTTATCAACGGAGTCATAGTAGTAGGTTAGTCATGGCTAATGTGAAGTTAATGACCGATTTCCCTTGACTTCCAAGAAACCAGGATTCCCCCCAAATTTGTATCCATTTATTTTTGGCTGTGCTCAGGCCTGCTTTATGGAGAATTTTCAATTTTCTGTTCCAGCAGTGTGGAAAAGTTTCCAGAGCCAGTCTAGGGCAAACTGCTTAAAAATGCCAGCGCAGCATCAGTTCTTCTGCGTAAGGCTGCTCAGCCTTAATTTCAGGATTTAGTGTGGTTCCCAGGGCATTACCAGAGGCTCCAAAATGCCTTGTTAATTAAGAAGAGGAAGGATTTACCTGGGCACTTATACAAAGCTGTAGCTGATAGCTTTTCCCTTCTATTCTAGAAAAGGAAACAAGGGGGAAAATAGTCTGCCAAGACTTGCCATGCTGCAAATGGATGTACTGGAAGCCACCAGCATGTGTGGTTTGGCTGGCTCTCAGAGACGTACCTCTGGGAGCCAGGGAAAACGTTGGGTTTCCTCCTGTGCTGGATATTCAGCTGAGCCCGTTTAGTCTCATCTTTCTTTTTATTATTTCCTTAGGGCCTGAGGGAGTTTACGAACTAGAAGCTGGACTAGGAAAAATTAAATACGTGTGCGCTGCCGAGTGTAATACTGCTGTTGTTAAAAGACTAATAATCTCTGGGCAGGAGGTTGAAAAGCCCTATATATCATTTTGACTTCCCAGAGGGTTTCGCTTGAGCCTCCTGCTCAGCTTCTTCAGCTACAGAGACTGTGATCCTGACATGTCAACAGCCCAAACAAGCAGCGAGTGTTGTTTGGTTTTGTTTACTGCTGTCAGAGCATCACAGATGTGCGTGATACTTCATAAGTAGCATGACAGCTAGGACTCACATCCTATGGATGCTCTACAGAAATTGATGAGAACTTTGACATCAGTGTCAGCAACTCAAGCCAAAATCCACCTGTGTCCCTGCCCAGGGATGGGCCGACGAGACAAGCAGAGGTTGCAGGGCAGGGTAGTGTGATGGTCTCTTGACTGAACGTGACATTCATCCAGGGCTTAAAAAGATTCATTCGAATAGAAAAATGTTAATAAAGAAACCTACAGACAGCAGGTTTGGACTGCTGTAGAAGGTAAAGGGAAGTGGTAGAGTACCCTTCCTGCCCCAATCCATCAACACCACCTGACATGAACCCCATGTCACAGGAGAGGGAAAAAACTAGATCCTTGTCCCAGCATAGCATATTCCAGGTTACACCTTCCCCTCTAGCCTTATCCTCTGGAGTAAATGAGCTGGGCTCAAAGGTGCAGAAAGCTCTTTCCTTCTCTTTGGCCTCCCTCCTTTGCTGGAGAGAAAATGCTGCTGACGCACGGGTTGTGCCCCAGGAGTTTGCACGGTGGCTCGCAGGAGAGGCACTGAGCTCACCCCAGCAGTTTGGAGGAGAGACTGAGGCAGTCTTAGCTGATGGTCAGGAGGCTGGGCTGCTGGATAAATAAGGCTAGGAGGGTGGGCAAAACTGCCTGAGGATTGTAGGCTGCTGATCAGCAGTTTTCCAGCTCCTGCTGTTGGAGCCGTGAGCCAGCAATTAACTCCCGGACTGGGGCAGGTGCTGAGCTAGAGGATTTGAGGTCTCCATCACTCAGCGAGTGCTGGCTCAAGGACTGGCCTTGCTGGCTGGTCTTCCCTGTCCCCAGAGCACCCACCACCAGCCTCCTCTGCAAGAGGAGAGGGGAAGGCAAGGAATTGCTTGGGAGATGGGCTACAGGGATCTCCAGCTGCAGAGCTTGCTGTGCACACAAGCACTGCGGACAGGAGCTCTGCTGAGCCCCAGCAGCATCTTCTCTCCAGTGTGGCAGGAAGGTACGGTCTCACTGCAAGGTATAAGAGGGAAAAAAACCCAACTGGTTTCTTTAAACCCAAGCAGAAAACTCAGAAAGGACAATAGACTGCACAGCCACTTCAGCAGTACAAGTACAGCCCTTCTAGCCATGAATGCCACAGAAAGTACAGCATGGCTGGAAAAAAATTCACACACCCCTGTTAGCTTCTCATTTAATATGTTACTTTCATTGTCATTAATTGAAGCCGACACAGCTCAAAAAACCCAATGAAGCCTTAAATGAGAAAGAACCAGCTTGAGCCAACTAGGACTTGGCACGGCGGAGCACTGCTAGAGAGACACTGGAGATGGGGAGCACGAGTGTGTCAGGCCAGAGCTTCAAAGTCAAGTTTATCGCAGTTTGCTAGGCTCTGGCTCTGAACCAGTACTGCTGTGGTGACGAGCACAGTGCGGCCTGTGACTGCTGCATCTGCTGCAAATGACAATGACAGCAGCTTCCCCTTGCATACAGTGAGGAGGTGACTGGGATTAAGAACAGACAGAATAAATACCTGAGCAGTGCCTTCAAACTGGTGGTTAAAATAAAAATATTGATCCAAAATCCTCTTTTATAAAAGGTTCGATTGAGGTTAGTGGCTAGAGGCAGCCATTTCCACTTTGTTCCTTTTCTTTCATTACCTCAACTGTATGTGGTCTATTCAAAATAAGTTTGGTATCAGAGGATGTATGTGGGCAGCTAGAATAATGTACCACACAAATAAGGCTGCCCAAAGAGGCAGCAGTACCTCGTATCAGCATGGGTTTGTCTTGTGGGTGCGTCTTCCTTTTGAGGGCAGAATTCAGATCAGCTCTAACAGGCACAGCACAGCCTTTCAGCTCCTAAAAAGCTGGAGACTGGTCATGGCAATGCAGCCCAGATGCCTGCCCTGGATGTCCAGATTCTCTGCACAGTCAAAAAGGTGAAGGAGGTGCCTCTGAAGAGCAATTTGGGATGAAGAGGGATTCGGGATGCACTGAGATGTCATCTCCTCCTGAATTATGAGCAGGGAGTCCAGCTGCTTCCTGATTTCATTTCCAACTGCCCATGAGCCAAGCTGCGTAAAACCACCAGGTAGGAAGCGGTGAGCACAGGGGTGCAGCTAACCTCTCCTGGGTGCTGGTGCCTCTCCGGGGTGAGACAGTGATTCAAGCAGTAGCACTGTGGGTAAGGATATCTGGGCTCCAGGCCCTCATCAGACTACAGTGCTTTAAATGTGCTCCTCCAAATGATCAGGAAAAGAGCCCCGTTCATTAAATTAGAAAGTAGCCTGCAACTGAGCTGCTTCTGTTGCATTTGAGACCCTATGCAATCACAAGGACAAAATCCGAGGGCAAGAGTGAGAGAGCAAGAGTCCTGAAGCTCAGGACACAAGGAATATCCTGGGAAAGGGGAGAACTGGGTTCCTAAATTCTTATTCCTGCCATTTCTAGGCACGGCATCCTAGGAACCTGTAGCCCAACGTACATAAGCACCCTCTGGAAATGCCCTCGCCAGACAGTGACAGTCTCCTCTTGCTCATTTTCCCACCAGCTTCACAAGGCTTAGGTTCCTCTCTGCATCGATGTCCAGCAGAAATCTGGATTAGTGCCAGCTAGCTCTGCGCTAGTGCAGGTTTGTGTTCCTTCGGGCAGAGGACGGTCAAGGACTGGATGCTTGGTCTTCTACATGGATGACTGTACTGGTAGGCTGGAAGAAATTACGTAAGCGACTTAGGGCCTGTCCTTCCTCTTCAGCCATGAATTGCATGAACCTGCACTATTGCCTGGTGGCAGTAGGTGAGACCTGTCCAGAGCTACCAGGTCAGGACCTTTCAGGGATTTTGATGCAGGCTCCAGCGCACCTACCCAGAACCTCGTTTTGATGCAGCCAGGAAGGTGAAGGGACTGTCCCTTGCTGCAGGATGCTCCTCATCTTGTGCTGGAGTTAGATGTTGCAGCAACTCTGTGATCAAATGGAGGCACCTTCAACAGCCGTTGAATGCCTCCAAAGTTAGGCAGTGACAGGTAGTGAACAGCCTGAACACTGTCAAGTATTTATGTCCCTCAGGTCCACTGAATGTCTCATCGAGGCAGGTAGTTTAAACGCACATGTTGACAGCAATGCGAACAGCAGGTATCTCACAGATACCCGCAGAGCTGGGTTCTCTAAAATCATGTCCTGTGTACCTCACATCCTCTCTCCTCTTTGTACATGGCTTGGTCTCAGAAAAGTAGTTGCAAGGTCCAGTTGCACTCCCAAACTCACTGTAATGTTGAGTTCAGAAATACACTTCTGATATCCTGACTGCGGCCTGTAATGGTATCAGGGGAGGTGTATAGGAAAAGACCTAACATATATAATGATTTACCCCCAGGATCTCCTTCCTGCTGTTTGTGGCTTAGGAATTTCTGAAATCTAATGAAAAGTTAATTGAAAGTTGAGTGGTAATAGAAGAAAAAGATAGGACTCCTGTAATTACTCCAATCAAAACCTTAAAGAATATTCTCCTTTCTTTACTACTTCACCTTTCCTCATAGTTACACATCTCCATTAATAAACTGTGTATCTCTGTAGTATTCTTGGTTGAAATGAAAATTTCCCAGTTTTTATTTCTGCTGTAAGATGCCTCTACTGGCCAGTTTTGCTTTTAAAAATTAATTTCTTATTTTCCAAAGTTTTTAGATATGTGAGCAATGGTATACAGAAGCTATTAGTGAAGAAACAATCTGTGGTGCAGAAAAGCAGACACTTTCTGACTACAGGTGTCATCATTATGGGTAAAATGGTTTTCTAGTCAAGTCTGCTCCCAATTTTTGAAAATCCTCAGAAAAATTGAACCAGTCATGACATTTTCACAGCCTCATAGCGGCTGCAGAGGCTTGCACAGCGTAATCACAGTCTGTGCTTCTCATCTTCAGGAGGTTTCCCACAAGAGACAGAGAATTCCTCCAGCAGTGGGTGAATGATGCACCTGCCCGCATCTCCACCCCACCTGCCACCCTGGCCTTTGAGATGCTCTGCACAAGGCAGGTGGCAAAATAACTGAACCAAGCTCTGAATTTATCTGCAATCATTTTGATGTGTTTCTTTTCCAGATATGTGCATTGCCACAGCAATTTCTCTTCTCATGATTCTGATCTGTGCAATGGCTACATATGGCGCATATAAGGTAATTCATTATAATTCAGGAAAGACGTGAATCAAATGAACTACACAACTCTGTAGAAACAAAATTAAGAAAATTGCTTTCTAACAATTTCTTGTTTAGTTGTATAGCTGAAAACAGAGAGAGAAGAAAATAACAGTTGAAGAGGCAGCAGAACTAATTGCTTAGATCAGTGGTATCCCAGGGCCCCGTGCTGCAGGCAGGAAAACAGCCCCGTTGTGTTTACTGTCTGCCGTTTCAAGTATGAGTAAGCTGTGGGCAAACTGTGAATTCAGAGAACTGAATCTTATACCTCCCAAAGTTAGGGAATTTTTATTCCATTCGCCTCCCAAACCTGTGGTTTGTCCTCGTATTAATCCTATTAATTAGAAGGAAAAAGTGTCATGTGGTTTCTAAATGTCCTAGTATAATGAGCTGTGGGACTTACACCACACGTATTACTGCAGTTCAGCAGCCAAGCTGGCTTGGCCAACTCTTTTGGCTGAATGTCATACATCTTTTAGCTGATTTAACAAGTTATTTTCTCTTATGGCCTCATGAAATGTAATGCATTGTGTCAAATGCTCCTTAGATTTTAGTGGAGAAAAACATATATTCTTCTATTATAGCTTGTGGCTGACGAGTTTTTCTCTTATTTCCTTTTTAGCAACATGCGGCTTGGATCATCCCTTTCTTCTGTTACCAGATCTTTGACTTTGCTCTCAACACCTTGGTTGCCATCAGTGTACTCGTCTATCCCAGCACAATTCAGGACTACCTCCGCCAGCTGGTAAATCACTCGATATTCACAAGCCTTTGGGAGCTTTAGGGAAAAAAACTGTGCAAGGTGCACCATTTGTCCTGTATTTCTAGCCAACAGTTTCCTGTTGACTTCCTATGCAGTCCTTGAAAAGTTCTCTCAGTCCTTGCCAGTCGGTGTTCAACACCCCTGCAACTTATTGCAGTATTTGTGCAGAGCTCAGGAGTTTTGCGATGTTGTGGAAGCTCTCGGCGCCACATAATTTAGAATGAGACTCATATTGCATGACACAGATAACAAGCAATTGCTTTTGGACTAGGTTTATTGTGTTCATATCCAATGGCTTATTTTTGATGCGATTCTGAGGATGTGCTGTTGCTCCTTTTAATTTATTTGGTGGCTTTAAGATAGATTTCATTAGGCAGGAGTTTGATTCAGTGTAGGTTTGGTGTTCCTAGAAAATATTTTTGGATTCTGTCTTCGGGACAATTAGGCTCCTTCTTGCCATGGTCTAAACATCCATAGTCAATATTGCATAAGCTTACAAGATATGATTGTAAACACAGGAGTCCACCAGCCTCTGTCTCATCACAGGACCATGTGCCATGCCCAGCAGGGTTCCGGTGGAGTTGTAGAGCTCTGGGAGAAGCTAATGCTGACTCTGTCTCTGAAAATCTGCTTTTAGAACCTGAATACAGATTAGCTTGGCTGTGAACTTTGTTATGTGAATGGAAAACTAGCTAGGGCAGGATAAATAACAAGTAATGAGAAACAGCAGGCAGATAAGTAGCCACACAGATCTGCAGGAAGAGGCAATGTGTCAAGCCGGCAGGAGCTGGGATGCATCAGGGGCCTGTTATCCTGCACCTTAGTTACCACCCGCCTGCGTTCGTGGCTGATGCTACGCAGGAAGAGAAGCAGAGGAGTAATTCAAAAGGTTCTCAGAGATACGAGTGGAAAAGAGCAAATTAAGGCCACAGCTTGGTGACTGCTGCTGGCTGGGGCGCTCCTGCCCATCGCTGCAGTCTCTCGCTTCTGCATCGGTGTCAGCCCCTCTCTCATGGCAGCACAAGCCCCCTCCCAGCTCCCCTCCCACCTTTCCAGAACATGAGCTGTAACGAGGTTTTACTGCATCTTGGTCACTGTACAAGAACAGGAGGGGGACAGGAGCAGGCTAGGGGCTGCACACCAAAAAGCCCCTGTTCTGCTGAAAACCTGGTGCCACATCTGGAGCTGGCTCGCCAAGAGGGAAAAGAGCAGCTGATTCTCAGAAATGTTTGCTAAAACATTAATGCAGTTCCTGCAGATAAAAAGAAATAATGGGCCCTTCTGTAGCAGAGATACAAGGAGCAGACCTCAGAAGGTATTGGGAACGGTGCAGCGGAGCACTTTGAGAGCCGCGTTGCTGCTCTGGAGCATTAAAACCTCTGGTTGCACACGGCTTCGTCTTGCTGCCGAAAATCATTTTTTGGACTAGTAATGAAATGCCACAAGAATTCAGGAGTGCTAAACTGTCAGTGCTCAAAAGGGCAAGGGGGATTTCCAGGATAATTATAGGCTGATTAGCCTGACATTGCTACCAAGCAGAATAATAACAGTGCTGAGATGAGAGTCAATTGATAAAGGATTAGAAGAGAGGAGTATGATTAATGACTGCCAGCACGGTTTCATGGGAAATCAGTCCTGCAAGCAAGCTCATTCTTTCACTGACAAGATTACTGGCTTCGTCAATAAAGATGGGCAGGGGCATAATAGACTTTTGTAAGATGTTTGACTTCGCAGCATGATGCTCAGAGCAAGAATAAAGCACTAGATCAATAAAGGATGTATCAAATGGATTTAGGAGATGTTAGCTGGCAGACTGCAAAGGGTGGTGATCAAGCTGACCATCTGCCGATGGGTTTCCATTTTGGGTAGAGGAAGGTCTTCAGGAATCAGCAGTAGATCTCATGCTCTTCCTGACTTCCGTTAATAACCTTGATACCCAGGAAGCCGTTCACAAAGGCTAAAGTCAGCCTTGGGAGAGCTTCTCCAGGTTCACTGTCCAGAGGGAGCAAGTCCTCTAGCAGGAGCTGGAGAGCAGGAGCCTAATCCAGCTATTCCGTGTCATCGTCTGGAAGACCCTGTCCCTTCATTGCCCAAAGTGAGCACATCTCTGCATTTCTTAGTAATTGTGCCTTTTCCCAGAAAAATCACTTCTAATAAAACCCGTGGCTGACACAGAGATTAATGAAGCAGTAAATAACACTAAGGATGGACCTATTAATCAGCGTGAGCGAGGCTGACTGAGAACCTGAGTTCAGTCATTAATGTGTGCTACATTGCTAAACGCAGAGAAATGTAAGAACATCAGGAATACAGATGAACATACAGTATGGCAACTGTTCCCGGGATGCAAGGACCCTGTAAGCAGTCTAGGGAACTCAGTGCCAAAACAAGAGTCCCCAGTTTTCATTGCTCTTTGCAAAAACTGCTCATGGGGTTTGTGGACAGAAAAAACCCAGCAATGAATAGTAATAGAGAGGAGACTTCCCTTATGAGTTGGTGACATAGGTTATATTGTCTGTTTCTGGTGTCTGGTTGTAAAGAACAATGCTTAACAGTCAGAGAACATGCAGAAAAGTTCCTCCAAAGCTATATAAATGCAGGATACGTTGTAGTATGAGGAGAGACAATCAGCTGTTCCTGCTTTGTTTACCGACAAAAGAGACCAAGTGGTGATGCTGTTAAGTTTTCCCATATGCAGAATAATGAGGTATTAAAAGGCTATTTAAATTAGATGAAAGGCATAATGATAATGAGTAGCTAAAAGCTAGTACAAGTTAAGTTCATTTAGAAACAAGGAGTAATTTCTATTTTATCATTCACAGTGGAGATTAGTAATTGGCAAAAACTACCAAGAGCTGCGATGAATTTTGTATGGTTAATGTCAACAAAGTTTTGAAGCCCTTTTGAAGCATCAGCTTTGAAGCTGTTTATGCCCCCTGTGTCTCAGCTGGGGTCCCAAGCACAAGTGGCTCAGCATGGAAGGGTCACATCAGTTGGCAAAAGGTTATTGCATTTGGTTCAGAGCAAATACACTCTGCCTGAAGAGGCAAAAGCAAAAGGGAAAAGGGTGAAGATCACACCCACTGCTGTCAGATACTCAGACACACGACAAGATGAAACGAAAAGCAAGCTTTTCAAATTTTTAGCAACAATGCCATCAATGCAGTGCTATCGCTCAGATGTTGTTGAACAGGCTTGTACCCACGGACCTGTTTCCCTACCTTTTAATAATAGTCATGGTAAGTAGGTTTGTCATCTCAAACAATACGTTTAGAGCAAGACTGCAGTTAATACCCTTGTCCCCGTAGGTGAGACCTGAGTCGTGTCAGTTGGGTGTGATCTCTCCTGATGATTTATCAATAAACCCTAAGGTCATCTTGCCCGCACCCCTCTTGCAGAGGTCTGCCAAGGTAGGCAGGAAGCAAGGGTTGTGTTTCTTCCTGGCATTCTTACAGGTTTTGTTCCTCTAATATTACTTTGAATTTGGGGAATGATATTTTAGGGAACACAGCTCCATAAGGGAAATGAAAAATCCCAATCGTTCATCAAATCCATTATTGAATATCTAGAAGAAGGTATGCATTAGGTAATGGAATATATTTGGCCGTCTCAGAACAGTTTTTTCGTGCGCTAAGGTCAACCCCCCATGTTTTTAAGCACTTCTACTTCCTGCACTAGTATTGGAATTATGTTATCTATTGACTTTGGTGCAGATCTGCCTGATTTCAGTCTATCGGTGGTGAGTTGCAAGCTACTGTGAAATCCTCTAGGTACTTTCAGCAAGATGATAAATGAGTACCTAGCAATAGTCTAGGCAGAGCCCTAGCTGAGAATGTTGCAACTGTAGAATACAGAACATTGTGTTCACAGGGTATTTGGTAATGCCAGCCTATGCTGGCTGCTCCTTTCAGAGGTACAAGTGTCTTTGGAAACTTCCTGTTGCCTTTTAATACCCATTTGCACACAGGTGTGCCGCTCAACACCCATACAGTACAAGAGCATCTCGGTATGAAGGGTCACGTAAAATAAGTAGATGTTACAAATCTAGCATTTGAAAGGTTGTATGGTGATCCCATGAGAGAAAACTTTCTAAGGGTTGTGTTGGACATCTTGGTCATCATCACCATCACTGGAAAAAACCTAAAAACTTCGCGTGGAGTAAACCCAGCGTGTATAAATTTAAAAAATGTTTCAGTTCTTGGAGCATAGTGCTCTAAAGCAGTATGGCCTAGAGCGCGTTTCTTTAGCCCCACTAAATCCTTGCTATATGGGCTTTCTAAAGCCTTCAGATTAAACTTTGTCTTCTGTCAGTGGACAGCTGTATGCAAAATGAATTGAAGCAGAGGTGCAGAACAGGCCAGTGTGCACCAGTTACGCAAACTTGGTTTTTTATTAAAGTACAGGACTATTACCATTCATCTAAAGAAAATTTCAGAGTATATTAAATAGCTTTATGGTGGGACTGCCTGCAATGATGCTGTCTAACAATTCAGGTTGTACCAGTCATGTGTTTAAATTCTAGGGAAAACATCTGCAGAACATAAAAGAGATTAAACTTAAAGAAATTATTCCAATAAACTAAATCTTACAAAAGGAATACCCTTTCTGACATTTTTATAATTCCAGAGAAGAAGTACTACTAACTTCATAGTAGAGCTTTAGAAATTCTACAGACACATTCCTGTTTTCTTTCGATTTTGTAAGATTCTGATACTCGGAGGATTCTAACTGCTAAATGAGAATCCACGCTGCCTTTTAAAATGGATTTTTTTGTGTGTGTGGTTCAAGGGGCAGGAGAACATGAAAGGTTATGCAAGCAGGCTGAGGGAATGAGAGAGGGCTTCAGCCTTGGACTTTTTATTCTTCTTGTGCATTTGTACAATTTTGATGCAGTAGAAATATACTTTCCATACAGGTTTTAGATTCTTTTTAAGTGTCTAATAGAGATTTGCTATGTATAAGCAGTATTTTTTTTAAAAATTGAAAGTTTACCAGGTATATTATTAGGGATGCAGCCCTCTCTAGGTCCATGACAAGGTTACAAATAGCGCTTTAACTATGACTTTAGCATGCTGGTGCCACACCACTACAACAACTACTTGTTTGAATAGCAAATTTCATCATGTCCTGCTGCAAAATCCCTCCTGTTTTTCCAGCAAGAGGCTTGCTTGACTTCTCCCACCCAGCCATATTTCAGCTTCATCAAACCTTGCACAACGTTTGACACTGAGCTTTTCCCAGAAGTTGCAGCATGGAGCCTGGGACCTTCCCAGCAGCAGGATTTCAGCTACTGGTCTCCACACAGGAGAGCAAACCCCCAGCACAGGAGCAGAATACACCCACATGGGTGTTTAAGCTTATCACTGCAGTCAATGGAGGGCAACTGGTGTCTGATTCATCTGAGACACTGTTGGTATCTGTTTTCCATGGAAGGGAATGAAACTTTGGGAGCGGCTGCTGCCCTGGGCGGACCCCAAGGGCCTCCTGATGGCATCAGCTCCATGATGGTGCCTGCACTGGGCAAGCCTAGAGCCAGCCAAGATGCTTCTCACCATCTTTTGTCCTTCTTCGACAAAAGCTGCAGGTTTTATAAATTGTTTTACCTACTGCACTGAAGGGGTTTGTAGTGAGAGCGGCTTCATGTTATTTTGCTAGCCGGAGTTAAACCATGACAGAGTCAAGGTCAGATTGCTCATAGGCCAGCCCGGTCAAGGCAGCGTTGAACCCAGAGGGTGGCAGGTGCCGCCAGCCTGGTTAGCAAAAGGAGTCTCTTCCATGCTGATCCGATGCCCCTGGGCTATTCATCACAGCCATGAAAGCTTTCTCTACCACACAGCAAGCTGGGAAAATCCAGGACTGTCCAGCTTTGGTTTTCACACCCCCACACCAAGGTGTCCCAGATGCCTGTGGCTGCATGGGTGCAGCACCCACCACCTCGCTGGGGCTTGCTTACACCTCACATCTCTTCAGGACAGAGACCCAGAAAGCTGAGCCTGAAGGGGACAAACCACAGCATTTGCTCCCTCCATGCTCTCCTGGCTTGTAGCTTTCCGTGCTGAACTACCGTTCTTTCACCTGAAACGCTGCTGATGGTAAGGGATGGCTGGTGCTGCTCCCAAACCTGGCCAGGGCTCATGGCCTCAGCACATGTTCCTGCTTTTCAAGGTAGTGGGACCTTTCCTGGTCATTTTCCCACCCTCCTCTTGACCCCATGCAAATCCCAGTTGAGTTAATGTCTGGAAACAGGCTATTAGGTTTTGGCCAAGACCCCAGCATGGTCATCCAGTCTTTGACCACTGACTGCTCCCCAAAAAACAAAGCATAAGAGGACCTAAGCCTCACTAGGAGACTTTTATTACATTCACAAACTTGTTTGACTACTTTTTTAATGGTAGCTCAGTACTAAATAAATTGGTTGGGGCAATCTTACTGTAACTGTCCTTAACTGACTGGACTTCTAACCACACACATGGTCTCCCTCCTGCAAGCAGAAAGGCAGGCTGAGGCATTAATACTTAAATTTTCTGCATATAAGGTTGGTATTTATTTTTCAGTGCATCTTTTACTGACATACCCTCTTGTTTTCTTGGTCTCTGGGTGACTGCATCCACTATGATATAACCTTGTGTGAAAAGAAAAAAAAAAAAAGGAGCAACTCATTGAATTATAGCAAGCTAGCTTCCTACAAAAGCTGTACCTTGACAAAGAGGATAACATGATAAAAACTTCAGCCATGAAATTTGGTACTAGAACAGAAACAGTGCCGTCAAGAAGCGGAAAATGTGCTTATGTAACATTTATTTGCAAACGGTTACAGCTGCTGTTGATGTTAACCACTCTGAACAGTTCATGGAAGCGCTAAATAAAGAGCCATTCTCACTAGTAGCTGTCCCAAAAAAAGGACAGTTTCCTGATGCAGTGGGCTGAGTGCTGGTATAAGGGGTATTATGGGGTTACTCTGGATTTACACCATCATCGATTGCCCAAGAATACAGCTGTAGCTCGGTCTAGTTAATTGTCCTGACAACGATGCAGAGCTGGCCTGGTTAAGTAATTAGACCGGTAAGGAAAAAGGAGGTTGTCCGTGGAAGGAGCTAATGCATTCAGTTATAATGAGCTCCTGTTGCAGCTGTCTTTTGTGGAGAACAGTTCTGTCTGTGAACAATGGTTTATTCTAACTGAAACAGGAACTTGTGCCTTGCAATATTTCAAGATGGTTTGGAACATTCATCTTAAAGGATGTGTTTTCTATAAGCAATATTAAGTATAGTAAAACATTCTTAGAGGTTGTTTTTCAGCCGCTGATCCTAACATGTTTCACGACAGTAAATCACTAGAGCCTGCGCTAAGCAGGAAGATTAATTTTGTTACCTCCATTTCATGTGTGAGATAACAGGAGGAGCCGGAGCACATTTTGATCTGAAGTCATGACGTTGCTCCTTTGTAGGGCCCATGCCTCTTTGGGGCATGCACTCAGGTGGCAGCACTACAAAGTGCAGCTGGGAGTAGTCCAGATTTACCTAAAATAAGATGAAGCAGAACAGACGCAATGTCCTTTGATCAAATATTTAGGTGAAAGGATCATGCTGTCCAGCTTTTCCTGCTTTGACTTCCTGGAAGGAGCTGCCACTGGTCTTTGGCAACCAGTGCCAATACAAGATAATAATTAGTTAATAAGTACAGAACTTGCCTGCTGTTGCCCAAGATGGCAGGTTTCCTGCTGCAAAGCTCCCAGAGAGATGTCTTTTGCAAGTTTGTGTCAGATACAAACTCTGTGCACAGAAAAGAAGTCAGCCCGCACCACATGCAAAGCAAATGCAAACCCCTCAGCCCTCTGGTGAACGATTGCCAGCTGGGCCTTTGCAATGCCCATTCCAGCCAAACCTACCCAACTGCTGTTGGTGCAGAGAGCTCCCGATTTACTAGATCACAGCAAGTTTTGTAAGCTGTTAATTATGAAGTGCACTAATTGAATGGCTCTTAAATGACTTGTGACTTACAGTGTTTTGCTTATGTTTGCTTATGCAGACCACCAATTTTACCTACAAGGAAGAGATCATGTCTGTGAACCCTACGTGTCTGGTTGTGATCATCCTCCTCTTCATAAGTATCATTTTGGCTTTTAAGGTAAGTGTATTACTGTGGATAGAGTCTGGTCATGGGTGGAATGTCCCTTGCTGGGAGGCCTGGCTTTAGAAGAGATCTAGGGAACTACAGACCAGGCAGCCTGACAGCTATACAAAATGATAGACATTACGTAAAAGAGGAAAACCTCCTAGAGAAACACATGAACATACAGGCCACAATGAGGAAGCATGATGCTTGTAGGGGGAGCTCATGACACACAAATCCTTTGAAGAAGCAGGTCATCCAGTGGACAAGGGAGAGCCTGTTGCTACAGCCTTCTTGGGTTTTGAAAAGTTGTTTGGCAGAGTGTCTCATCAAAAACCACTCTAAGATGTGTAGGGACATAAGGAAAGGTTATCTCATAGACGGTATCTGGGAAATAGAGAATAAGGATAAATTATCAGTCTTCACAACAGTGAGACCCATGCTGTTGGGTACATTCATAAAAGATCTGGGAAGGAGAAGGAAATCTAACAGCAACATCTTTTGCAATGTCATTCAAAATAGGGAAAACAATCAGCCAAGTAAGCTTTACAGAAAGATGCCATGGCACTGAATGACTGAGCGATGAAACGGCAGAGAAACTCAGTGGTGACAAATTCTGTGGTGGGCACAGAGGAAGCACAATCTTGTTTCACAGCCACTGCAGTGGGCTCTGAACTAAGTGTGACCACCTGAAAAAAGGGATCTTGTAGCTGTAATAGATAGACCTGTAAAAATATTAGCTTACTGCTCAGTTCTGGTCAAACAAATAAATCAAATACTAAGAATATTAAGAAAGGAATTAAAAAACCACCGGAAATCTAAAGATATCTTCACCACTTGTCATGCCTACTGTCTCTAGAAGCATACATTTGCTTCTGAGTGCCCTATCTCAAAAAGGATAGAGATAGGGCACCAGAAGAGTGCAGGTAGATAGATCCAAACAATCCCTCATGGGAGGGACAGCGTGAAGGGCTGTCACACAAGGCAGCAAGAGAGCAGAGGGAGTGGTGATGTATTTGCTGTTATACAAACGTTGCAGGGAGAGGGCTAGAGGTGGCAGGTACCTGATAAAGGGGAGATATAGCATCATCTAGTGCAGCCAGAAAGGGCTCATGTGAAACCCCTGCATCCAGGTTCATGGTCCAGCAAGGTTAGCCCTCATCTGCTCTGCGGGGCAGGAATCCAAAAGCAGCTCAGAATAAGATCAGACAAATCGGTGTATCAAAAACAACCACCTATGGCTCAACTGGTCCCCAGACCCTTGGACCTCTTGGAAAGTATGCTGGAATATTTGCCCTCTTCTTGCACCCTTCTGCAAGTTTCTTACAGCACGGTGCTTCCATTCTTGTATTGCACAGAATCAGAATGGTTTGGTTTGAAAGGGACCTTAAAGATCATCTAGTTCCAACCCCCCTGCCATGGCCAGGGACACCTTCCACTAGACCAGGTTGCTCAAAGCCTCATCCAGCCTGGCCTGGAACACTTCCAGGGATGGGGCATCCACAGCTTCTCTGGGCAACCTGTTCCAATGCCTCACCACCCTCTCTGTGAAGAACTTTTTCCCGATATCTAATCTAAACCTCCCCACTTTCAATTTAAACCCATTACCCCTTGTCCTGTCACTACAGGCCCTTGTAAAAAGTCCCCCCCAGCTTCCTTGTAGCCCCTTCAGGTACTGGAAGGTGCTATAAGGTCTCCCTGGAGCCTTCTCTTCTCCAGGCTGAACAAGCCCAACTCTCTCAGCCTGTCCCCATAGCAGAGGTTTCTTGTATAGGGTTTTATTTCAGTATATTTTTTGCTCTTTCTTGGTATAGCAATTACTCCTTAGATTAGAGAAGTCCCAATGAGCCACAGGGACACCAGGGATACTGCTTCCAGAATCCACACTTAACCACATGAACAAGGAAAGTCATTGTGACAGGAGAGAGAGAATGAATTATTGAGGCTATTTCAAAATTGAAAAAAAAAACCCAAACAAAACCAAACCAGAAAAACAACCCAAAATCAGATTCGGTATTTTAAGGTGGCCTTGGAAGTGATGCTCATGTTTCTTTTGTGATTTAGAAATGCAATTTAGCCTTCTCACTTTATATGTTCACAGCCCTAGAGTTGATTTTGTTTGCACCTTTAAGAAATATATTTGAATGTAATAGATATATAGATCTGATAGGTGACCCAAGGGCCATGTTCTTTTTATTTCTGAGATGCAAGCATTAGCTCGTTTTTACCCCAGGTGGGTCTGGGGTTTCATTAACTAAGTATGGAAAGAAGTCTCAAGCTAACAGAAGAAACAAAACTAAAATTGGAAAGGCAAAAATACTTACTACAGAAACAATAAACCTAAGAAATTAATAGTGAAAAATACTTTTTTTTTCAAAATGGCCAAACACGTGTTTTTTTCCAAGAGTGTATGTATGTGGCTAATAAGATGCTCATTCTAGCAACATATTATTGTGCAAATGAGTCACAATAATTATGACTCACACAGAAACACATGCTAAATTCCAGTTAGCGTTTTCATTTGAATTTCTTGTGTTTCCAGAAGAGGTGCTATGCAGATTTATGGGATCTGTTCCACGAAAAGAAAGCTGGACACTATCAGATGAATCACACTTTATCACTGATAGACTTAACAGATGGTACCTCGTTTATGTACTGAAACTGAAAAGGTACTGTTCATAAAAATATGCTTGAGCTCCCGCTCCCTGCGGAGTGTGACTAGAAATAGGGAGAGAAACCAAAACACTGTAACCTAGGAAAAGCTGCATTCAGCTGGTGGGAAGGAAATATGAAACAGAATCCCATAGCTCCTCAGAAACATTTGGCATTGTGACACTTTTGGTTTGGGTGAAGCTGCACACAAAGGAAAACACTTTTGGGCAGAAATCAAGATATAGCAGCGTTAGATGGTGAGTTTGTGCTTTGCAGTCATGGGACTGTGGAAAGGGAAGGGAGGGACGAGAGAGGTTAGGAAGAAAGCGAGCCAGCTAACCACACACAAGCACTTGTCTTTTTAGTCCTTAGGATTTACTTGGATTCGAAGCAGCTAATGGTTATTTCAGGTGCTTTCACACAGAACCTTTTCCAGAGTAGACCAAAATGTGTCATTCCATTTACTGTGTTTGTCTAGAAATGGAACCAGAGTTACAGACCATGAAACATAGGTGCTTCCTATCTGGCTGAGGAAGGACATCCAGCAGCATAAATGTATTTCTATGTGTGTATGCAGGACATCAAATGGCATGTAGCCAACACAGTGGCTTTCGAATCGTACCCTCCTCTGCAGCTGGGCTGGGGAACAGGGCCTCGGTTTCCTCTGGCTGGCCCCAGCTGCTGAGGCAGAACGGTTGAGATTTCATCCTCCCCACCATGGGCAAAGCCCTCGGGCCCAGATGAGCTACACTTAGCACAAACACCACCAGAATGAACCCTTCCCCCAAGCTGCCCCGAGCACTCTGCAGCTGCAGAATACAGCCTCTTCTCTTCTTTTTTGGCCTTTCTTCTTCTGGGAAGTAGGTAAGAAGAGGCAGTTGCCAGTGAGACAGCTGAAAGGTATTCCAGCTCGATGAGACAGGCTGATCTTCAGCAACCTGAATATTAACGCTGCTCTCTGTAATATGCCCATAATCTCTGTGTATGAGGTGTTGAGCCTGGGAATGAGACCACTCTGCATCTCCTGGTGTCCTCAGCAGGTAGGAAAGGGTGATGCAGAATGAAGTTTTATGACCCTAAGGGAAGTTTCATCCCCCTGAGAGATTTCACGTCTCAGCCCAGGGGGATGCCTCATATAATCATGGAATGGTTAGGGTTGGAAGGGACCTTAAAGATCATCTAGTTCCACCCCCCCTGCCATGGGCAGGGACACCTTGCACTAGACCAGGTTGCTCAAAGCCTCATCCAGCCTGGCCTTGAAGACATCCAGGGATGGGGCATCCACAACATCTCTGGGCAACCTGTTCCAGTGCCTCACCACCCTCTCTGTGAAGAATTTCTTCCTGATATCTAATCTAAACCTCCCTGTTTTCAATTTGTACCCATTACTCCTTGTCCTGTCACTACAGGCCCTTGTAAAAAGTCCTCTCCCAGCCCCCTTGTAGGCCCCCTTCAGATACTGGAAAGCTGCAATGAGGTCTCCTCGGAGCCTCCTCTTCTCCAGGCTGAACAAGCCCAGTTCTCGCAGCCTTTCGTCATAGGAGAGGTGCTCCAGCCCTCTGAGCATCTTCGTGGCCTCCTCTGGACTCGCTCCAACCAGTCTATATCCTTCTGATGTTGAGGGTTCCACAGCTGGATGCAGCACTCCAGGTGGGGTCTCACCAGAGCAGAGTACAGGGGCAGAATCACCTCCCTCAACCTGTTGGCCACACTTCTCTGGATACAGCCCAGCCTCCTGCCAGGGCTAACCCTGACATGCACCACATCGCCCTGGCATCTGCCACCTTCCCACAGGGACGATGGAGCAGCAGCTGGGACCATGAACACATCCCCAACAGCCAAGCTCTGACTCCCGCTCCCAGGAATGACCAGCACAGAGCCATGGGGTTTCCACCTGCTCCACAAAAGCCTGGGGCAGGGCCCATCACAGGACTTGCTGGTGGCAGGGTACTTACAGAACTTACTCCTCTCTAAAGATGGGACATTTGCTTTAAGTTGCATACTCTGGTACGTGTGACTGTGAGCCGACAGATGATGTCCTGGCCCGTATAAGGTGCCTTTTAAAGGGTTGCAGGTCAGTGGTTTGGTCTGACGTCATTAATTCTTTTCAGTCACAGTGTTTATTTGCAGTTACAAGGAGTGGTTGTTACACAGCCTTTTTATGCTCAGAAGATACACATTCTAGTGTGCTGAGAAGACAGGTTTAACTGCAGATTTCATCAGCACGGCAACCCTTTGTTGCTCTTTCTGCAGCACTGCCATGGGAAATACATGCAGCTAACTGGTCTGCCATTAGCATCCCTCTGAAATCATGTATGTTTCAGTTTGTGTCAAAGTCCTGATCTCATTTTTACCAGTTACTGAATCATAGAATCATAGAATGGTTAGGGTTGGAAGGGACCTTAAAGATCATCTAGTTCCAACCCCCCTGCCATGGGCAGGGACACCTTCCACTAGACCAGGTTGCTCAAAGCCACATCCAGCCTGGCCTTGAAGACCAGCTGAAGACCAGCCCAGCTCTGTAAATAGAAAATTCAAAGCAGCTGGAGAATAAAACAGGGCTCGGTGCAGACGGCTCCTGACCCGCGGGCACTCTGTTGGGTCTGCAGCGTTCACCGTGCGCTTGCTGCCAGCGAGGGAGCTGCCCAGAGGGCTGCTGTGACCCAGATCAGCACAGGCTTTTCCTTGCTGCCTTACAAGAAACGTCAGGATACAGCAATCTCTAATTTCCACAAACGTGCTGGTCGGGCACATGTCTGACAAGCAGAAATCGTGCATTACTGTTGTTTTGCAGCTTAACAAGTGCATATGCAATAACAATGGCGAGAGGCAGGGATGTAAAGGGTTTTTTGGGGAGGGGGTGGTTAAAGTTATTTACCATCATTCAGATGGGAAGACAGAGCTGGTAGAAGTAGGTATGGTGCCTGTTTCCACATGCAGCCCTTCTTGTGCACCCATCCTTTCACGTGGTGGCTGCTGGGGCTGCTCACCCCCCCAAAAAGCATCCGGCAGCAGCCTGTGCTGTATAGCATGTGTGAATACCACTCAGTGTGGGTTAGGCTGCAGTGACTTTTACACAGGGCCCATTCCAAATGTGAACATTGGTCTCCTGAGAGAAGAAAATTATATATTTTATATACTGTGTGTCCAGCCACACATTTTAAAGCAGTAATTGAAACCTCTGCCAAGTTTTTGAGGAAAAAAAATTGGTAACTGAATCAGCAATCTCATTTAACAGTGTAGCAGCATCCGTAGAAAGCAGTGATTAGGAACAGGTTTAAAAGACAAAGTTACAGGTTGAGGAAAACGAGTTTCCATGACTCACGACTTGCAGGCTGGCAGCACACGTCCAAAGCACTTGGACAAGGATGTGCTCCGAGCTGCCGCCGCTCTCAGCCGTATGTGGGTCAGTGTCTCGGGGCCAATTATTTGGTGTGTGCTGGCTGATGACCTCTTTAATTCAAGGGCTGGAACAGACCTCACCCACTGAGAAACTGCTCGTGCGTGCAGGAGCAGGGCTGATTAATGCTCAGAGCTGGAAGAGCCGTGGGGTTCATTGTGGGGTTAAATGTGGTTTATTCACCAAACGTAACGGAATGGGAGCATTCAAAAACAAATATCCCACTAACTTCTCCCAGATAAGACTTTATTATCTGAAATGGGGCTTCCCTCAGTTTGGATTTTGACGAAAGAGTATAGAAACTGGTTTGCAAGCAAGTAGGCTTAATGTAAAGGATTTCTTATACAGACGGTGTGCGTCCCCACTGAAGTGTGCTGTATTCAGTCTCTGCTCTGTACTAGCTTTGATGCTTTTCTCAGCATGTAGTATCTGAGCATTGAAAGCTACTAAACTAATTATTATTATTCATAATTAACAATGGCATTTCATTTAACTCTGGAAAAGATACAGTCCCCTGTGTACGTGCCTTTACTCCACTTGTTTCAGGAGCCTGGGGCAGGATTGCACAGCTCACAGCTCAGGCTGGAGAGCCAGTCTAACCTTCCCCCCGGACTCAGCCGACTCCAGAAGCCTTTTGCTCTTCCCATTTAGTGGTCAAAAGTATTGCCAAAGTCTGTGACACCTCCAAGTCATCCAGGGTCTGTAGGATGCCATAAAGAAGAGGAGGCAAACTTACTGGATTTCAGCCAGCTCGACCCTGGTGGAAAAAACTTCTTCCCGATCCACAAATCGAGCTGCTGGTGAGCCATGTAGCATCCTGAAAAACACAGCACGGGTGTGACAGCTCTGTAGAGGGAGGAAGCACTGGGCAGCTCAAAAGCATAAGAGGCTTTTGGAAGGTCATCAGTGCAAGTGAGTCACAAAAATATGACTCAGAGAGAGAGACGCATGCAAATCCAATCAGCGCTGGCAGTTTAATTTGCACACGCTAGGTTGGTGAAAGAATTGCTATGCAGGGCTAAGTAAGAATACACATTGGGCACTATCAAAACACATTGTTCTCCTCATCGCTGTCGTGTGTGAAACTCCAGAGGAAGGTGCTTAGTCTCACCAGCCTTGTCCCTGGCAAGCTGAGGATCTGACTCCTGCTCCTCCACATGTGTTACTGCCTCCTGTCTTTCTCCCAGTCACTTTGCTCATCTCTGCTGGCCAAACTGGAATCTCTCCTGCTGGTGAACGAGATGATGGCTGTGAGCACTTTGCCCAACCAGTAAAAAAAAAGGGGGAGACAACTCGCTGTTTGCCAGGCAGCAGCCTTACCCAGAGCCAAGTGAGCTCCAAGAACAAAACCGGTGGAGTTCAGGATCCTGGGGTAGGATTATTGCTGCAACAACAGGTTTTATTCTTTACACTGAAAAAAGTGAAGTATTTCTAATAATGGTTAAAAGGTCAGAAATACTTTCAGATTTCAATAAAAAACTTTTACACTGACAGTTTTCTCTGGTCAGGCATGAATAGGAAGACCCCAGACTGTTCCAGTCATATGGAATAGATTGATTTAATGTCAGATTAAGTGAAGCCAAGTATTTCAGCAATGCAGGTGATACAGGGGATCATCACGTAGTCATTAGCCAGGCTTCCACTCACAAGACAAGGAGAGTTCCTTTCATTTGCTTGATGATTCTTCAGTCTCCAGCATGCCTGTCCTCTGGGCTGGGGTTTGCATCCAGTTTCTACTATTACTAACCTCTGGTTGACAATATTTAAATATCCTTACCATGGAGGGATCTAAAACTGGTTTCTGTTTACTTTTTGCTGCTGTCCCTCAGATATTCTGCATCTGCAGCACCTTCTCTTTTTTTGTCAGTCTAACTTGTACCTTCATTTTATGTTGTAAAACTCTCTCCTGCTAGTATGCAATAAATATCCCATGCACAGTGACGAGGTGACAGACTGAATCATATCCCTCTGCATTTCTAGGGAGGTGTGAGAAAGCTTATTTAATTTAAATGGAGGTTATATACACAAAATGTTACTTTAGCTATATTCAGGCCCAAAGAAACTGAGTTTTGGTTGTTTTTATTTTTAAAACAGTCTAAGTATGCTGCAGTATTAAATATCTGGAATAATAAACTTCATTCAGATAGGTCTAGATTGCAGCTTCTGCCTAGGTGGCGTGGCTCATAGTGCAACACAAGTGTTTGTAATCACAGAACCATAGAATCACAGAATGGTTTGGGTTGGAAGGGACCTTTAAAGGTCCTCTAGTTCCAACCCCCCTGCCATGAGCAGGGACACCTTCCACTAGACCAAGTTGCTCAAAGCCTCATCCAGCCTGGCCTTGAACACTTCCAGGGATGGGGCATCCACAGCTTCTCTGGGCAACCTGTTCCAGTGCCTCAACTCCCTGATCATAAAATGTTTCTTCCTGATATCCAATCTAAATCTATCCTTTTTCAATTTAAACTTGTTACCCCTTGTCCTATCACTACAGGCCCTTGTAAAACGTCTCTCCTCATCTTTTTTATAAGCCCTCTTTGTATTTTGAAAGGCCACAGTAAGGTATCCCCAGAGCCTTCTCTTCTAATACTGAACGACCCCAAGTCTGTCAGTATGAGGAACAGTGTTGGATTACTCACAGAGCCCCTACACATACTTACAGCCACTGCAACCAGCAAAGTGACTGTCCCATGCTTTTATCAGGCTCATATTCTTATTTATGTAAGAATAGAAATGCTCACATGGGAAGGTGTATATGGCTTATTTTCTGCACAGAATAATACATCTCTTTCCTTTGCAGGGTTACTTGATAAGCTGCGTGTGGAACTGTTACCGGTATATTAATAGCAGAAACAACTCGGACGTGTTGGTGTACATTACCACTAACGACACTGCGGTAAGACTGTTAGATCGCAAACATTTGACTAACGTAACGCATTTTGTACCTTGATTTTATATTAATTTCTGTCTCCTTAGTTAACCATCTTAATTCCTTTGAGAGTCCTCATCTGTTGGTTAGGTTTACACTTGCGATTCAACAGACTCGTGTGCTATGGTTACAGACCACATCTATTGGTAAAATACTGGTTTTATTTTATGCATATAATCTGTTGAAGAGTCTGTGTTAAGCATAAGCTACAGCTTACTTCAGGGCCCCAGGAATGGCCCCCAGAAATGCTCTGAGCTCTGCAGCTGTGGGATGATCTGGACGGTGCGGGGACTGAGTAGGACTCGGGGATACCGTGGTCTACACCTGCTGTGAAATGTGGATTTAGCTATAGAAACTGTGATTCAGGACAGCCAACATCTGATGTAGTGCTTTACACACTCACAGAGAGGAGCTAAAAGGCAAGAAAAGTTCAGTGAGTCATCTCCCAGCGCGTGACGGGTTTCGTATAGGAAGGAGACAGACTGAAACAAAGATTGCATGAAAGAAATGAATAAGAAGATTTTAACCTCAAAGAATGGAAGGTGCCAGTGCACCTTATAGTACTTGAGTGCTGACATGCATATGTGCAGGGCACAACTGCTAAGCAACGGCTTGCTTGTTGGAGAGGCACTGAAGGAATACAAGAAGAAAGGGTCCCTGGAAAGAGCCAGTTCTGTTTGCAGCGGCATCTCGGTGGAGCTGCTCGGTTCCACCCAAACGACATGCTGAGGGCACTGTGCCAAATTGATCCCTGGGGTGGCTCCGCTGGCTTGTGTAACGAGGGTCTTTACATCATTTACATAACAGGGCGAGAGCAGCCTGAACTTGGACTGAACTGAATCATCTGGGTAAAGTTTCAGGATTCCTTCCTCAGGTTTTCCTAACGGTGGGTGGTCTGCACATGCTGAGGTATTAGACCATCAACTCTAAACCACTGGAATGAGTGATTCCTGGGCTGCCACAAGGACTGGAAAACTACTGCTACTTTTACATGGAAGCTGTAACTCCTGCACAGTTATTTGTCTTCAATACCTGGAGCTTTAAGAAAAGCATAAGAAGTTTTACAGACTATGATCACAGCTGGCAACCAGGACACTTAATAAAAATATGGGTTTATTGAAAGCTAAGAAGTATTATTACTTTCTTCACTGGAATCTACTTTGACTAAAACCAGTTGTTTTATGTGAAATAATTTCAATAGCTCTTTTGTTCAGCCTGTAAGTGGTTGTAACTCAGATTCCAACATGGCTAACTCCACAACCCACGGAACTGGCAGGCTCAGTGGTGGGATTATCTGGGAAACGAAACTTCCCATGCCTCTTTAAAAGCTACATTAAACCCACCTGCTCCACTGCTGCCTTTACAAAGCAGAAGGCTCTGGTGTTCGGAGATGCCTGGTCACCAAAACTCCTCTCAGTACTTCTGTATTTAGTGGTTACCTCTGAGCTGCCTCCTCATCTTTATAGCGCTTGTAAATGTGTCTGTGAGGAAAGGAAGCTCTTTTATCCCATTTACAGGTGGCATATTCTTGCACTGAGTGTTGAATTTAACTTTCCTTATCTTGATTTTTCAAGATAGTTATGGCAGAGGCCAGTTCTGAGAAAGGCTGTGTATTCCTAGGTGGTGCCCTCAACACTGGACGCTTCTTCTTTCCTCAATATTTACATCTCCTTAATGTGAATATGGTCAGAATCACTTGGTTTCAGGCATGATGCATTTGTTATTCATTCTTTCTAAGTAAGTTCAATGAGATGATGTTAGATCAGGTCTCTAGAAAGAGCTGTTTGAGAATTTATGTGCTAACTGGCTTTTTCACCAAAAAAAAAAAATCTTGTTCAGGACTACAGAAAGGCTCAGGAGCACTGATGCTGGGGAAGAGTTTCTCAGGCCCAGACAGAGAGGCAGGAGGAGAGAGAGTCACTCACTGCCTGGTATTTTAATTATTTCCTTGGGATGGAGACAAACGTTGTTCAAACCCACGTCCGACTGCTTCTTCTCAGTCGGTGTGAGTTCCTTCATCCCTCAGTGACACGCTTAGTCTCCATCTCTTGCATTTCCTCTCCTGACAAGCTCCATGGACACTCGCGGGTGCAGTGCACTCTGATGTGGTGGGGGAGCTGACGTGCTCCTTAGCGGCCCCTTCCTTTCTTCTGCTCATTGCTGAGCTTCAGCAAGAATCAACAGAGTTTGTAGGCTTAGATCCTCATCATTCTCCACTGTGAATCAGAAGATTGTTTTTCCCTCCCATCACCCCTCAAATCACAGACTCAAAAGATTTTTTTTTATGTCTACATTGAAAGACATCAGCGAAAGTTCCTATTCACATGACTTTAAAAAGGTAAGCTCAGCACAGTCGGATAACCACAGTTTCAAAACAAAGTGTGGAAGAATAGGGCTGTGAAAGTTGAGTGTTGAGGACCTTTGAGAGTTTAGAACTCTTGAAGAAACAATGAAATTTTGAAATGCTGTGATAAGTCACTGCTGTCTGCTGAACTCCAAACACTCAAGTGCACTTTGTATTAAACCAAGTTTTTTTCATTCTTTTTTGATGCTGGGAAATGTCTTTCAGCAGGGCTCCTTCACCCCAACATGCCTTTAGATTATAAACTACAAATTCCTTAAAAAAATGTGGGTCAGTCTCTGCCCTCTGCTTTGAAAGAAATTTGTTATTTTTAGAATCAGACCTGCTACCTTAATTCCAGCAGAGCTGTGGGTCATATCTGTAGGGCATATTCTCGTCTTCTGGGATGGTTTATTGATACAGATTTCTGATGAGCATTAGCTGGAAGAATGTCAATTGGTACAAATGGAAGTGAAAATCTGAGCTTAAATATGGGACTGGGCATAATAGCTACAATTTATGACAACAAGTTTTCAATATATCCCAATACTTCCAAAATCCAGAGATCAGATCCCGGTTGCTAATATCCCTTGTACTGCGCTGTAATTAATGCATCTTATCTATACCCTACACACAAGATTTTTTTTTTAAAGCTATTAGGTTCGCAAGTGGTAAACACTGTATAGCAAAAAAACATGCAGAGTGGAGTTTAGATATGGGCTAGAGTATGGGTTAGTTTACTGCCAAACTTAAAAGATCTGGGTTATGTATTGGGATGATTAGCAATTCAAAATCCTTCTGCAGTTGCATAAATATTCTCAATGAAACTAAGAAATTTATTACTACAAACATTTTATTACTGTGTCTAACAATTTTGGGGGCGAGAGCTGTCTTCAAAAAAGGTCATAAAAATGAAATGTATACCTTATTGATATTATAATTTGCACTCAGGGGAAAACAGAAATCTCTGCCTTCGATAACAAATCATCAACAAATTCATCCTTGAATTCGTAATTCTATACACCTGCAGAATTTGTACCGAAAATGGAAAAAGAATGGGCAAACCCCTGTTCCCTAGTAACTTTAACTACAGGCAATTATATAGCCATAAAAATTGCATCTGTGTTATGATTAATTGTCAACTGCTGTGTGCCATGTTTTGAAGGGAGACCCAAGACTACGGTAAGAGGAGACGTCACCTACAATAATTATCCCTATCTCTGGTCTATCAACATATTGTCAAAATCCTGGATTGCATTGACAGATAAATGCAAATATACCTCATACTTTCACAAAGATCATTGTTTTCCCTCTTCTAACTTTTGAACTAGGAGTTGCCTGTTTTACCTGCTCAGAACTCTTGAAAAACATATCTAAGAGTTCCAGTCTAAATGGAAATACAACATTAATGACTGAGCTTTTATCCACAGGAGCAATAAAATACTTACTAGCTGGGACACTGTGGTACAAGAGATAGGAAGGGTCCACAGTTATGCACTGGCTGCAGCAGCTGTGAACTCATCTGAGATGTTTGGATTACAGGCTTCTTTCTTAGGAAAGAAGGAAACTTTAATACACAGTGCTAGGATTTGGTTCGAAAGAGTAAGAGGCTGTGATTGTATATAACTGGTTCTCCAGTCCAGAAAGTTGTTCTGAAAATAATAACCAGATTATCTTTAGTTTTATTGCATGTCTTAATTTACCACTGGCAAGGTACGTAGGCAGGCTTACACGCCACATCCAGTTTTGAGTAGGAGAATGGAAACTCCTTAAGCACAGCCATGCAGGCCTTCTTGTTCCTTGGGTCTCTGTGTTCATTAAGTCCTTGGTGGGTCTCACAATTATTTTCACCATTTCTATTTAGCACAAATCCATCATGACTCTGTAAATTCACGCTGAGCACATGCAGGTCTCAACAGCAGTATCCATCCATTTTCTTGGCTGGTCGCGTGGTGGAAATCTACTGATACGTCCTTCCAAGGGATGGGATTTTGTGTTTTCTGTTCTCTGCCAGCTCTGATCCCTGGCACTCTCCTGCGTCTGTCGTACCTTCCCTCAGGCTCCTCGTGAGATCCTCTCTACAGACTCCTCACTGTTACCAGCCCCCAATTCAGTAACACTTTATTTTTAAAAATATTCAGCTGTCTCTCTCTGTCTTCCTACTAACTGTCTTATTTTCATACCAGTAAAAGAACAAGACAAGAACTTAAGTGTAGACTGATGGGGGTGGGGGTGTGCGTGCAGGAATTCCTAGCACAGAAATTTCCTGTTAGTTCCCCCTGATCAAACTGGTTCTTACAAATAATGCTCATAGAACTGAACTGTAACTAACCTGATAGCTACAGTTATCAGCTACCAGATAATCTGATTTTTGTCACTCAGCGTAAGTGGTTTAGGCCATCCTTTTTGCAAACGTGCCATCTGGAAAAATGAACATCCTCCCCACTGTAGGCCGTGCACTGGATATTCCCTTTGCTCCTGTGTGCTGGGCTGACCCTGGCTAGAGGCCAGGTGCCCCCCAGAGCCACTCTGTCACTGCCCTCCTCGGCTGGGCAGGGGAGAGAAGATATCTGGTGGGTCGACATCAGTGCAGGGAAGGATCACTGATCAGTTACTGTCATGGGCAAGACAGACCCAGCTTGGGGAAATTAGTTGAATT